GCGCGACTCGAGGATTTCGTGAATGCGTCTACAATCTTGATGAATCGCCACAAGCGCGCCCCCCAAACTTCTGATGTCTTGCAAAGTCACGGCCCACACATCAGACTGGCCCTCGCACCTTATCGCCACGGTGAGCTCCTTACTATATTTTCGCTCGCAGTGTGACTTATAAGAGGGCAGATATCGAGCCCAAGATGGAGGTCCGCGCATAGAGGCGTTAAAAGTTTGTGAAATGTGAAAGAATCGAGGAGTGATCGTCGAAAATCGCGCAAACGAAGTTTCCTACCTTCTTTATATAGATATTATCATGGCGACACAGCACAATCGCAGCGGCGAGTGCGGGAGCGTTCGGCGTTCGTTTTTATGAAGGAAAGTTGATATACAGTGACACAACAGTAGAACTGTAATTGAGAGGTACGGTAGTAGGGCCTATTTGTGAATGTGCGTTCATATTAGTTTCAGTTTTTACTGACTCTGTCCCAAGTGCCTGTGAATATAACATTCTTACTTATTTATCATAAAACTTTCTCGTGGCTAGTAACATACAACAGCCCTAAAAATGGGGAAAGTGACAAAGCAGAGTTCTTGTGCTTCAGCTCATAGTCATATTAACATTGTCATTGACATTGGCTAATATTGTATAGCCTGGGCACACAATTTAATTGATATTAGGATGACTGCCAACGACATTCAACAATAAAGCCACACTAGATCGCTTCGGAGACAACCACGAGTACATCAGAACCGACATGGCACACGAACGGTAGATAGCCTAAGGGAGTGCGTCGTAATTAAAATTGTTGTGTTACGTCTCCACGAAAGAGCCATTCGGTACGGCGTATGAAAAAACAACATTCCCGCTGTGGGCACTACGTAGACAACACCAATCAGGCGCCGTTACAAAACCTGTCGCCAATGTAATCATATTAAATGCATGCCATATTTACTGCGACTACCTATTAGGTGTTATTTTAACAATGATGTTATAATTTTCTGAAATTTTAACAAACCAATGACGGCTGCCATCTTGGAATAATCTACGTAGTAGCCCGGATGCAGCATTGCATTCTGGTATAAGCCATTCGTTCCATGATTCCATGAAACTTCGAGAAACTTCGAGAAAAAAATGAAATACTCGGTTTATACATGGTTTATACACTTAGTACTAATACTATGCTATACTCAATTTTACTCTTAACTTTGTAATTATTCTTTCTTGCAAACCTATATTCTGAAAGCAGAAATAAATAAAATTGAGCTCACATTAGTGACGTCAAAAAGTCGTCATTGCCGCGGCGACTGCCCGTCGCGTCATCATTGGCGTAATGACGTAACAGATCGCTAATTAAGCGTCATGCACGCACGCACGCATACATAGTTACATACCGTGAAGTACGGTTAGAACAATAAGATCGAGAATAAACGATAACGTTATTTCCCTGATAACTAAAAACATTTAATTAATATGATAGCACCCCCCCCCCTAAACCGCAACCC